TATGCATGAGACTTCAAAATATTATCATTATATTCATTTATGTAATTTTGAATCAAACACTTCAGCTTATTATTTATTTCATTTTAAGCACAATATATATTAAGTTATACATAATTTAACCATAGTATATTTACATATCTAAGAATATATTTACATATCTAAGACAATAACCAACCGAAATGAAAACAAGAAAATTAATTAAAATTTTATTATATTTAGAATAAAAAATATTATAGCTGAACTTGAAAAATAGATATTGTCCAATATGCCAAATTGATAACCAACCCGACTTTTAATCCAAAATAATAAAATCGACAATAATATATCGAAGTCATATGTATAATTAGAATAATATAATATTTATTAATATAAATTATACATATAAATTGATTCAAAACTAAAACTAAATATCAATCAATTATTATAAATTTTACTTTTATGAATATTCATACCCATGCATGAGCACGGGAAAATCACCTAGTACAACAGTGAATTCCGACATCACCCTCCTAATTTTGAAATTGTCTTTTTATTAATAGCAATTTGGTATCCGTTATTTAAGAAGATGAGACAACTGTCTCAAGCACATAAACAGCTCGTTTTGCTACAGAACTGACTAACCTTGTGTCTTAGAAACGGGTATAGGCGGTCGTCTAGTCGGTTACTCAAACCTAAACAAAAAGATTTTTGAACGATTTATTCAAAGAATGGTCTAAACACTCAAAAATCAGTATAGACACCCGTTTAATCAATAATCTCATATAAAACACTTAACTACCACCTATCGATTTCTTGAAAACTGGATAAATCTACTGGACAGACAATATTGACTTCTCATATAAAACACCTAACTACCACCTATCGATTTCTTGAAAACTGGATAAATCTATTGGACAGTCAATATTGACTTCTCCATTATTGAGTAAATCGAATAGAACTTGGGAATCAGACACAACATGGATCATGTCCACTTCCCTGCCCTTTTGCTCCCTGTAGTGCTCTTCTAATCCCCAAGCTTCAGCACAAAAAGCTGATGAGGCAAATGCCCCAGAGTCAACAGAAAGTACATCCTAATTCCTGACCGACAGTTCAGAGTATTTAAATTCCAAGCAGCATCCATGAAGCAAAATAAATATAGGTTTCCATATTCTTTTCATGATTGCGACATTTTTACATCAGACCATACTACAAAAGGAGTACAGAGAAGTTTTGATTCGCCTGGTCATATCATGATTGCCTACTCAAACTCTCTAAAATACCCATACCACTCTCAACCGAGTGATGAATGTAGCTTTAAGAATTGTCTATTTTGTTTATATTTCACAAACCCCCAACTCCAAGAGAAGGTTCTAACAACAAAAATAGAAATCCTTAATTAAAGTTCATTCTGATTCTAACTAAAGCTACTCAACTGAAAATACAAAAAGTTGCGACCATATAATCTATAATCTCTGCACAAGAAATCCAAAGAGCAACCAACATACATGTTGTATATCAATCCACACATGAATATCACTGGGAAAAATATTGTCTTGACACATGGCCCTTCTAATAGCAGCCGTTTTATTACTTCTTCTATGCTAAGCATTAAAGACTCGAATCACGAGTTGTTATTGTACCAGTCAGACTGCATAGCAGAAGGAAACGGGTTGGATCCAAGTCTCAAGATTACAAAAGCACAAAAAATGGACACTCAACAAACGATCTTCTGATTCCCAAAAACATTGTCAACAAAAATACTAACACAAAAGTAGAACACACCTTCACTGTGCTCACTGTTGCGGGAGTACCTTCTGGTCTCCGTTGTAAATAGCCAACAACTCAGGCACTAGCATGTCATGTTTCATCACATACTTGTTCAAAAACTTCTCATCCGTACAAGACAAAACAGACGACACTGGAGGAAGTTCACTCCCTATCAACCCTTTGGACAAGAGGACTTTAATAACCTTACACCTCGGTACAATCCTCTTCTCCAAGCTGTAACCAGCAACCTGAGGATGCAAAGCAACAGCCTTCACCGTCCACTTCATCTCTTTCAACAAAAACTCAGTCTTCTTTATAACCGACTCAGTAGAATACTCAATGCAGGGAGGATAGCGTTTAACCATCATTGCAAACTCATCCCTACTAAACCCTAACCCTAGAAACGTCTCCATGGAGCACAACATCTTGTTCTTGGAGACTTTCAAGAAAGTAGGAGTGCTCCTAAAGATCTCCCAAATATCTTCCACAGTAAACCCTAAACTCTTATACACTTCAATCTTCTCATCAATCGTCTTCTCGCTCATCTGATACAACATACGCAGAGCTAAGACAAACTTCGAGGTTGTCGGATCAAAACCCATCTCAACAACCTTCTTGAGAGATGCATCGAAGTTTTCTTTTCCACAAATTGGCTGAGATTTGGAGATGAGCAAAGGGAGTAACAGCCTCTGAGGCATACCTAATCCTCTAAGAACAGAAACGTTTCTAACTTTGTTCTCTAAACTAGTACCATGTGGGAAAGAATCAGTTACGGAGGTCTTGTCTGCTTCCATGATGCATTTGACAGAATCATAGTATATGCTGATAGATTTCTTCCCCAAGATTTCTGGGACTTTTGAGATAATCTCAGTGAGCTCAGAGGTTGAAGCTCCTCTGGAGAGAAGCAACTTGAGCTTGGGGGAAAGAGTCTTCTCAGCGTCTAGGGTTAGGACTTGTGGGTACTCTGTAATGATGGTGGAGATCTGGGAATCTGTGAAAGAGTGAGTCTTGAGAAGGCTCAGAACGGAATCTGGGTTTTTGTCGTCTTCGAGGGTGAGTTTCTTTGAGATTGATTGGGCGAGTTTTGAGTTTAGACCCAGTGAGTCAACGAGGTAGGAGACGGTAAAGGTTTTACCTTTGAGAGTAGTTTGAGGGATTGCAGTAGTAGAGGAGAAGGAGTTAGAGAAAGGAAGTTCATTTTGCAAAGAGAATCTCAAATGACGCATACATTTCTGCAACTCGAGGAACCTTCTTCCATGGAGGATCAGAGAATACATGACAGGGAGAAGAAGGAAGAAGAGAAGCTCTGTTTCTGTTCGCGAAGATGACTCGACGATCGGTGTGATCCGTCTGTTTACTCCGAATAGGGTTTATGATGCAAAATGGGCTTCGCCGGCCCATTTTCCAATTACTAATCTGCACCTATACTTTTGTGATATGATAAGATGAATCGTCATCAATCAAGGTTGATTAAACTCAAGAGTATGTTCTTTGATCAAGATTCAGAATCTGATACATTTGTTTCATTTTTCTGCATCAAGTTTTTGACAAGTCTCCAGAGGTAAATCTGAATTACTCTCATCACTCTTCAAATCAAGGCTGTGATAAATTGGCAGTACCACTGGCATTTGCGCAGAAAAGGTTCAGGTCGAAGAAGCAGGTTCGTGTAAGTGGCTGAGTAAGGAGTGAAGAAGAGTGGGGAAAGACTCCTTGACAAAAGGAGGCTTTGGAGTATTACCTTTATGTGTTGCTTTTAATAATGTGATGCCGTTTTATGAGTTTGTACGGTTATTTAAGGGAGGATGATTCCCTAATGACATTTTATCCAAGAATTAATTAAAGTATTACTTTTCTCGATCTTATTCTCTTTCTCTCTCTTTCTCTTTCTATTCTGTTACATTCAAGATAAGTCACGAGCTTATCATTGGTATCAGAGCCTCACCATGGCCCCGAAAACAAATTCCAACGCCGCCAACGCGGAAAGAATCTCGGCGATTGAGGGTCAGATGCTCAGCATCACCGAGTCCATCGTTGATCTGAGACAAGTTTCTGAAATCACTAATCAGTGATTCCTGGAGCTAGAGAAGAAGGCGGATGATCGACAAAACCAACTCATGGCGTTGCTGCAACAACTTCAGCCTCAGATTCAACCGGAGACCCACAACTCACCGGTACCTCTGGGTTCGAAGGCTGTGATGACATGATATAAGCGTATCTCTGAGGAAGGAGGATCGAGCCAAGGGCTACGCATCTCGCCGATTCGATCGGAGAAGGGGTTACTTCCTTCACCTGAGGGGTTTGCGAAGCAGAAGGCGTTCCCAATCTCACCCACCCGCGGTGAGACCTCGGGGTACACACCTCAATCGAAGAGCGAAACACCTCCCAAAAAGGTGGATCTACCCGATTTCGAGGGCAAAAATCCTGACGATTGGATTTTTAGGGTTGAGAAATGTTTCACGATCAACCAGACTGCAGAGGAAGATAAGTTATCCTTGGCGATGGCAGGTATGACTGGTTGTGCAGTTCCTTGGTTGAGGATGATACATGATAGGGAGGAATTGTTGGACTGGCGAGATTTCAAACAGAAGTTGAAAAAAAGGTTTAAACCTTCACGAGGAGGAACGATAGTGAGTCAGATGTTGCGTTTGCGTCAGACGGGATCAATATCGGAGTATCGTGAAGCGTTTGAAGAGCTTTCTGCCGAAGTTCCACATGTTCCAAACGACGTGTTAGAGGAGATCTTCTTGCACGGCATGAGAAGAAGCTTGAGGGAACAGGTGGTTAGACTCATGCCAGTGGGTATGGACGAGATTGTAGATATGGCAAAAATCATTGAGGAACAGGAGAACGATAAGAACTCCTACCACTCAAGATCCTTCCAAATGACAAACTCAGCTCCAGCCTTGAATTCGAACCAAAAGAGTTATGGCTCGAATGGGTCAAAACAAGGAGATTACTCCACTGCGCGCAAGTCTGTGGATTCTCAGAGGGATAACAAACCAGGGGAACAGAAGAAAACTGTACAAAATCCTTGTAGACACTGCGGTGAAAGGTACTTTACGGGACACCATTGCAAGGCTTACCAGAGGTTCAAGTGTATGGAGGTGGAGGAAGAGTCTGAACCCGAGGAAGATGAGGAACCTGAGGCAGAAGAGAACACTGAAGGCCAAAGATCGCAAGGACCTGAGCTCTATATTCTATCCTTACAGTCGATGGCTGGTATAACTACCAAGAGGACGCTGAAGTTGATTGGTCGCATAGGGGAGATGGAGGTGCTGGTGTTGATTGACTCAGGAGCTTCCAGTAACTTCATATCCACTAACTTGGTGAGGCAGCTGGGGTTACCCGTGGTTTCCACCCTAGAATTTGGAGTTTCTATAGGTGATGGTAGAGTAATCTATGGAAGTGGGAAGTGTGAGGAAGTTACTTTAAAGATTCAAGAGGTGACCATTAAGGAGGAATACATGTTATTCGAGCTTGGTAACCTCGATGTGGTCTTAGGTTACCCTTGGTTAGAGAAGCTGGGAGAAACTCGGATCAACTGGGGATTGCACTTGGTGCGGTTCCAGGAGGGAAATGAATGGAAAACATTAAAAGGGGATCCATCATTGTTGAGAGATCAAGTATCCCTGAACTCAATGGAGAGGCTGATGGATCAGAATGATAGAGTGTGGTTATTGGAATTGCAGTCTCTATTTGAGAACAATCCAAACCAGGAGAAACTGAAGGAGCCAAGTGAAGAGATTAAGAAGCTCTTACTCAAGTTCAAGAGTGTGTTTCACATTCCACCCGGGTTACCCCCCAAAAGGAACATGGAACACGCTATTACCTTGCAGGAGGGTACTTCTCCCATTAACCTCAGACCATACAGGTACTCTCACCTGCAGAAGAATGAAATCGAGAAGCTGGTGCAGAAGATGCTCGACGCAGGTATAATCAGACCGAGCATCAGTCCGTTCTCGAGTCATGTTCTCCTAGTCAAGAAAAAGGATGGTGGGTTCAGGTTTTGTGTTGATTATAGGGCAGTCAACAAGAACACTATCAGGGACCGTTATCCAATACCAGTGATTGAGGAGCTATTGGATGAATTGGTGGGTGCTGCAGTGTTCTCCAAGCTGGATTTGAAATCTGGATACCATCAAATCAGAGTACGAGAATGTGATGTGGGTAAAACCGCATTCAAGACTCATGAGGGGAATTATGAGTTCTTGGTGATGCCATTTGGGCTCACCAATGCTCCGGCTACTTTTCAATCAGTCATGAATGATATATTCAAACCCTATTTGAGAAGATTCATATTGGTCTTCTTTGATGACATATTGGTGTATAGTCGCAGTGAGAAGGAACACCAAGAGCATCTGAGAATTGTGCTGCAGCTGCTGAAGGATAACAGATTCTATGCGAATGAAAAGAAGTGCGCATTTGGTCAAGTTAAAGTGGCTTACTTGGGCCACATGATCACAAGGAAAGGAGTGGCTGAAGATCCAGAGAAGATAGAAGCCATGAAGTTGTGGCCTCAACCTCGGAACGTCACTGCGTTGAGAGGGTTCCTAGGGTTGACTGGTTACTACATGAGGTTCGTGGAAGGATAGCTCGTCCTTTGACTGAGTTACTGAAGAAGGAAGGGTTCAAGTGGAATGATGCCGCGACTCAGGCTTTTGAGACACTAAAAAATGCCATGTCTAGGCTGCCGGTGTTGATTCTTCCTGATTTTACTAAACCTTTCACTGTTGAGACAGACGCGTCAGGAGCTGGGAGTGGAGCAGTGTTGTCTCAGGAAAACCGTCATATATCTTATATCAGTAAGGGGTTCTCGAGTCAGGGAAGGGTGAAGTCTGTCTATGAGCGTGAGTTGCTGGCCATCGTGTTTGCTGTGACTAAATGGAGGCACTACTTGACAGGGAACCAGTTCACCATAAGAACTGACCAGAGAAGTTTGCGCCACGTTCTGGAGAAAAGAGCTGTTTCTGTCGAGCAACAAAAGTGGGCGTCAAAGCTTTTGGGTCTGAATTACACAATTGAGTACAGGCCTTGAAAGGATAATAGAGTTGCTGACGCGTTATCCAGGTGTTTTGAGGCTGAAAAGAAATCATTTGAGTTGTTGGAATTCCAGTTAACTGCACCATTATCTATTGATATGGACGAGCTGGCATTACAAGTAGAGAAGGATGAGTGTTTACAGAAGATCATCCAGGGAGGTTGAGTTTGAAGGATACAGTGTCGTGAATGGAGTGTTGTTCAAAGACAGGAGGCTGGTGATACCCGAGAAATCTATGTTCATACCTGCTCTTATGAGACAGTTTCACGACAGTGCTGTGGGAGGACATGAAGGAGTCTTAAAGACTTTCAAGAGAATGGCCCGCGAAGTGTTCTGGAAAGGGATGAAGAGTGACATAACTGAGTTTATAAAGGCTTGTGAGGTCTGCCAACAGAACAAATATTCAACCCTGTCTCCATTAGGTTTGTTAGCGCCCTTACCCATTCCTAAGCAAGTTTGGTCTGACATCAGTTTAGATTTCGTCGAAGGTCTGCCATTCTCTAAAGGCTTCGATGTCATCTTAGTGGTGGTGGATCGACTGACAAAATATGCGCACTTCATACCCCTCAAGCACCCCTTTATGGCGAAGTCAGTGGCTGATGTTTTTGTGAGAGAGGTTATCAAACTCCATGGGTTCCCGGAAACAATGGTTTCAGACAAGGACAAGGTGTTTCTGAGTAACTTCTGGTCTGCTTTGTTTAAGAGTCAAGGAACAGCATTGCACAAGAGTACTGCTTATCACCCTCAATCGGATGGGCAAACAGAAGTTGTGAATAGGTGCCTTGAGGCCTATTTAAGGTGCTTTGCTGGGAGGAAACCAACTTCTTGGAGTCAGTGGTTACCTTGGGCTGAATACTGGTATAACACCTCTTTCCACTCTTCAACTCACATGACTCCGTTTAAGGCTTTGTACGGTAGAGATCCTCCTAAGGTTCTAAGGTATGGAGATGTGCCAACAGCTAATGCAAAAGTGGAGTTGATCATTCAGAGTAGGGATGACTTGTTGAAGGAGTTACGTGAGAATCTTCTTGCGGCTCAGTCCAAGAAGCAAGCCTCAGCAAATAAGAAACAGAGGAATGTACAGTTTGAGGTTGATGATTGGGTTTATCTGAAGCTTAGGCCGTACAGGCAGATCTCAGTAGCGATGCGGCGTGTGGAGAAATTGGCACCAAGGTATTTTGGTCCTTATTAGGTGGTGCAAAGGATAAGGAAAGTTGCTTACAAACTTGGCCTTCCTCCTCAGAGTGTGATACACCCCGTGTTCCATGTTTCCTAGCTGAAACAGGCTGTTGAACCCAACCATAAGGTTCAGGAGCTCCCTTTAGTCCTATCGTCTTCCTTGGAATGGAACACCGAGCCGCAAGAGTTGTTGCAGATTAGGCAGTCCAGTGTGAGTAAGGAAGCTGAGGTGTTGGTGAAATGGAAAGGATTACTTGATTTTGAGTGTACTTGGGAACCGGTTAAGCGTTTGATGGAGCAATATCCGAGTTTCCAACTTGAGGACAAGCTGTGTCTCTTACGGGAGGGTATTGATAAGTTGGCAGTACCACTGGCATTTGCGCAGAAGAGGTTCAAGTTGAAGAAGCAGGTTCGTGTAAGTGGCTGAGTAAGAAGTTAAGAAGAGTGGGGAAAGACTCCTTGACAAAAGGAGGATTTGGAGTATTACTTTTATGTGTTATTTTTAATAATGTGATGCCATTTTATGAGTTTGTACGGCTACTTAAGGGAGGATAATTCCCTAATGATATTTTATCCAAGAATTAATTAAAGTATTACTTTCCTCTATCTTATTCTCTTTCTCTCTCTTTCTCTTTCTATTCTGTTATATTCAAGATAAATCACGAGCTTATCAGGCTGGTAAGCGAAAGTTAATCATAACATCATCAAAACTGAACATGGGTTTCCATATTTCTGCTTAACATCAGCGTCATTGCTAGACACTCGGGTCATATTCATTGCCTACACATAATGTGTGAGTTAACTAAAGTACATAGGCAACAATGATGACTGCTCCATATAAATTTCTCTCTCTTTTTTTTTTTGCTAAAATGACTGCTCTGTATAAATACTTCTCTTCAATGCTTTTGAGATTAACAAACAAAAATCTCTTTCCAGTTTTGTCATTAGTTAGTAAAAAGCATATTTGAAACCTCCCCTTTCCAGGCAAAATCCTTACATTCAATGCAAATCAACTAAGCTTGGTATGTGAACTTCTGACTCTCAATAGATGAGACGACTGTAAAATACCATAATACCTGGGGATGACAAATTAAAGTAACTTTTTTTTTTGTAACACAAGCTAAAGTAACTTTATTGATGCAAAATATCATCTTTAGTTCACAACTTACATAGAAACACAAATGCGATTGTTAGACCAAAAATATAATGTATACCATTAACTTGATAGCATTTGTATATGTTTGGGAGTCTTGGTGAGTAGAAAAAAGTTCAATAATACACCAAACAACATATATTTGTTAATTAGTAAGTTAACCATAAAACCAAAACAATTAAACTTCTGCTTTGCTTTATCCTCATTGCTACTCAAGTCATCTTCACATAACAGCCTAATTATACAAAACCAGAACAATCTGGTCCGGTTAGTAACTAGTCAATTGGGTTTTGGTTATTAAACTCTCCCCACCAATTTTTTTTTGGGATTAATCACTTAAACAAGATATGCACATCACAAAGCAAAACGAAACTTCTTTGAAACTTTGTTCTGCGCCAAGTGATTGGATTCTGAATTCTTCAAAGATGAAAGAAAAATACGATAGTTTTGGCTTCGCTTTTGTAATCTTGTAGATTGCTTTTACAAGATCTATGAAGCACAGTCCCCGGTGAAGATAGCCATCAGGTCAGCCACAAGCTCCTTGTCATCTAACTTGAGCACATACCTGTTTAAAAACGCCTTATCTGTACATGCAAAGACCGATGGAAGCGGAGGGGGTTCACTCAATCCCTCTCTAGAAATGAGAGCTTTGATTACGTTACACCTAGGCACAATCATTTTCTCCATGCTGAAATTATATACCTGAGGTCGCAAAACCAATGCCCTTAGTGGCCAGTTCATCTTCTTCACTAGAAACTCAGTCTTCTTCTTCACTGACTCTTCAGATAACCCAATGCACCGAGGATTGGTCATGACCATCTTCGCGAACTCGTCTCTTGTCACTCCTAGGCCTAGAAACGTTTCAAATGTGTTCGTTATCTTCCTCTCAGAGTAAGCCAGAGAGCATGGAAAAGTCCTGAACATTCCCCATACATCTTCAACAGTGAAGCCTAAACTTTTATAGAGATTAACTTTTTCTTCTATCTTTTTGTCGCTCATTTGGTAAAGCTTGCGGAGAGCTGTAACAAACTTCTGGGTGGTGGGATCAAAACCCATCTCCACGACCTTCTTGAGGGACTCTTCGAATCTTTGTTTCCCACAGATGGGTTCGGCAAGGGATATAAGCAAGGGTAAGAAGAGCTTTTGAGGCATACCTAAATCTCTCAAAACTAAAACATTTCTGATTTTATTCCCCCACCGACCATCTGTCGATGACTTTTTGTCGGAACACTTGTGATCCGCTTCTACAATGTCTTTGACAACATCATAGTAGAGGTTGATAGATCTGCCTTGTCTCTTACCCAAGATTTTGGGGACATTTGAGACGATCTCAGAGACTGAAGCTCCTCCTCTTCCTCCTCCTCTAGACTGCAGGGAATTAAGCTTGGGAGCGAGTGATTTCTCAGCGTCTAGTAGAAGCAGTCGTGGGTAATCGGTAATGATGGTGGAGATCTGAGAATCTGTGAACCCGTGACTCTTGAAAAGACTAAGAACGGAATCTGGATTGCCCTTGTCCTCAAAGCTCACTCTCTTCGAGATTGATTCAGCAAGTTTTGTGGAGAAACCCAGTGAATCGATGAGGTAAGAGATGGTAAAGCTGGTACCTTTGCTAACATCTCTAGGGGGGCGCACATCAGCAACGGAGGAGAAGGAATTGGATGCATTTAGGAGAATAGTGACTGAAACACTAAAGCTACGCCATTTCTGCAACTGTGCCAGATTTCTTCCATGGAGTATCATAGATTACCCAAGCTGAAACGATTCCGAGAAATTGATGGGATATTAAAATCTTGAAAATTTCTAAGCACTTACTAAATGTCTGGTGAAGAATGTTTTTAAGGATCTGGGTGAGAAAAAGACAACAAGATTAAAAAAAAAAAGAAATTAGGGTTTACGAGCAGATTTTAAACCCCTTCTTCGTTTGCTCATCTCATCATCATGGAAAAACTCATGTTCCCGTTTAATAACCAGTTGCACCTTTCGTGCCGTTTTGGTGTTTTTACAAACTGCAAACATGTTAGAAACGGACTTTGGTATTCCATTTTTTTTTTTTTTTTTTTGGTAGTCCATTTCCCAGTCCCTAAATTTAGCTGCGATATATTTATGTAAAAACAGTGAGCATATTGTTGATATCGCAACCCACATGAGGTATAGTGGCTCGTGACAAGAGGTAAAAATATAAAATGGACTTAGATACACTTCGTGTGACCCAAAAAAAAAGGACTTGGATACATTTCATAGAGAGTTCATGATACTGAAGAAAATTATCTTAACGTATGGTGTTTCAGTTTAAATTTTATTGGAGCTAGCCTAGAAAACAGGGGATTTAATCACTCTGTTCATTTCTTGGAATGGTATGAGTTACAGTTTACTTTGATCTATAGTTTCATTGCTACTCAGATCATCTTCATATAAACTTGTGTTTTATACTTGTATGTAATTGAGCTTTCTTTGATCTTCATATCCTGCATCACATCACTTTTAGTTTCATATTATTTCCCACTCTCTTGTATGAGTTAGCGATGTTAGAAAACAAGAGGACTCTTTAAGTAAGATATCAGAGAGAAGAGAACAAAATTAAAGTTCTAAAACAGTAGAGAGAAATGGTTCAGCAAATTGAGATTACACAAGTCTAACGTTGAGTTTTTTCCAGAAGCCTTGACAGGCGTTATGAATCTATGAGGCACCCTCTCCGGTGAAGATAGCCATCAACTCAGCCACAAGCTCCTTGTCATCGTGCTTCCTCACATACCTGTTTAAGAAAACTTCGTCTCTACATACCAAAATATACCCAACTGAAGGGATTCCACCTCCTTTGAGCATGAGAGCTTTGATCACATTACACCTTGGGACAATCCTCTTCTCCAAGCTGTATCCAAATACGGCAGGGTTTGAAACCACATCCTCTAAAGAACATATCCTACTCTTCATCAGAAACTCGGTCTTCTTCTTCACCAACTCTGCAGACAACCCAATGGACTGAGGACAGTGCTTAACCATCCTCACAAACTCATCTCTGGTGAATGATAGGCTCATAAATGTTTTAAAGGAGTTCATTATATTCTTCTCGGAGATTGCCAGCAAAAACGGATACTTCTTGAACATTTCCCACACATCTTCCACAGAAAAACCTAACTTTTGATAGAGATTAACTTTGTCTTCTATTGTTTTGTCGCTTATTTGGTAAACAATGCGTAGAGCTTCGACAAACTTTGAGGAGTTGGGATTAAAACCCATGTCAACAATTTTCTTGAGGGAGTCCTCAAATCTTTCTTTGCCACTGACAATATGGGAAGATGAGACGAGCAAGGAGAATAGGAGCTTCTGAGGCACGCCCAATCGTCTAAGAACCAACACATTCCTGATGATATTCTCCTGCCTGGTACCCTCAGGGAGAGAAAGACATGACATTTCGTACTTAGAACACTTGTCTGCTTCAATGATGTCTTTGATGAAATCATAGTATCTGCCGACAGCTTGGTCCCCTTTCATCCCCAAGATTTTAGGGACTTTTGAGAGAATCTCAGTGAGCTCAGAGGTTGGAGGTCCTCTGGACTGGAGAAACTTGAGATTGGGAGCAATGAATTTCTCAGCATCTAATATGAACAGCCGTGGGTAATTCGTAATGATGGTGGAGATGTGAGAATCTGTGAACCCATGAGATCTCAACAGATTCAGAACAGAATCTGGATTACCTTTGGGCTCTGAGGTGACTTTCTTCCAGGTTGATTCTGCGAGTTTAGTAGTGAAACCCAACGAATCAACGAGGTAAGAGACAGTAAAGTTGTTACCTTTGAGACCATCTTGAAGAGAGCTTACACTAGCAGAGGAGAAGGAGTTGGAAAGAGAAGAGAATACATTAGGCACAGAAAAAGCATAGTCATTTAGAACAAGGTTAACTGCGTGACGCCATTTCTGCAACCTTCTTCCGTGGAGAATCAACGAATACATGAGAAAGGCTGTAAGTTACCTTAAGCAACAGATCTATCTGGTTCAAATAGGGGAAATGAAATTACCCAACCTTCAACGACTAAATTTCACCTTGCTTACTTATATCCAATAGCGAAGAAAGAAGATGAGAAGTTCACTCACAGATCAGGTTCTCGTCTCTGGAGCTCAAGTCAATAACATGACAGAGGCAAATGCGATTCACGAACCTGAGAGGCTGAGAGACAGAGGAAAAGCAGACCGATTCTTCGAGTAATCGACTATTTTCCCTCAATTTATGAACACCAACACGAAACTCACTCACGAAGTCGTTACTCTCTCGCGGAACCCTAAATCCCAGGATGAAGAGACCCCACCGATAAACCCTTCAATTTTGGCCTTGGGGATCCCTTGTTATATTAATTTTCTTTCTTTAAAAAAAAAATGTAAAAATATACAAAAAAAAAGAGAATTCGCACCTGCTATACACGAATCAAACGCTCAGGTACTCCTGCCCGAAAAAAGATCTGAGATATTCCTACCCGCAACTGACCAGAAAATATGGTCCGTTAGCTGAAATTAGTGGATCAATCAATTGAGCTTAACAATGGGTCACGCGTGAATTATCGTTTCAAAAGAGAGTGGAGCTCACCTAAGGACGGAGGCTGCTTCCAAGGATTTCGATAAAAGAGGTCACGAGAAAGAGGTCACGAGAAAGAGGTCACGAAGAAGAGGTCCGGTTTCTCTCGCATGAACCTAATAAAATAGCCCAGGATACGAAGATAGAGGCGTATGATTCGGTCAAAAGGAAGCTGTTGCAAATCCCTCAGTTTACGGAGGCGATCTCTGAGACTAATCAGGAGAGGTTAAACGTGACCTGAGACTATTTAAAGGAGGGAGAAATGAAGAGAAGAGGATTCACGCTTTTGACGAATTTACACATACATTATCAATCACAAATCATTCATTCGTTTGCTTGTATTCGTTTCAATCGTCTTTGTAATCATTGATCATCAAATACAATCATAATCATTCTTTAAGTTCTAAAAGGATTCAGCCCACGATTGTCTTTTTCCCAATCTAAACCTAACCTAAACTAGAGAGTGAGTTTAACCCCTCACATTTTGGCGCCGTCTGTGGGGACGAGATAATTGAATCCTTCACTCCGTAACTTGAGAATGGATCCATCCAACCAGGCAACGAGCCCATCCATCCCTGACCCCGTGATCCAGATCGACGGCTCACCGAACATGAGAGACCCGGATCCCCAGAATCCGGAACCTCAATCCGCCGATCAACGATCCGAGCAACAGCCTCCGGCTAATGCTCAATCGAACCAAACTGGAATAATCACCCCAAGATCTTCCAGTGGGAACAACTTGGGGGTTACACACCCCGAAAACCCTCAGCGTCAATCCGCTCTGAATCATTCGGAAGCTCAGCTATCCGAGATGCGTCGAATGATAGTGCAATTGGTAGAAAGAGCTCAGGATAACGAGCGCACGTTGCAGCAGCTAACTGCCCGACAGCAACGGTTCAAGGAAGTGACTAGATCTCTAACCGAGACGACTCATCTGTCGCAACACCAAGGATCAGGAGTCACTTTCCGAGACCGACTGACCGAATCCACCTTCCCTCGCGGACGCCTGGATTTTTCCCCAAATAGCACTGCTCGTAATGAGCAAGAGCCTGTTCTCCAGACACCTCATACTGGGACAAACCCAGTATTTAGTCCACCTATAACTAGCGCTATGGGAAGTAACGTAGCGACGACAAGCTCTGCACCCAATAGGGTTCACGAATAGAGCACACGATTACCGCCTCCGCCACCTATTTTTAGGTCCGGAGAAGGAATGTCTTTCCCTCCTAGGGGAAGAGCACCAGCTTCAACTTACCAAAATGGGAGCGCGATCCCTAATCGAGACAGCCACCCGAGGACAGAAGCTGATCCTACAGCTCACCCCCCTGGTCGCGTCCCTCAAAGTGGCCCTAGAGCTAGCGAGCGATTTAGCCCACCTAACGCTTGGGAGAACGACGACTCTCGACTCCATCAAGAATCTCCTCATCAGATTCCTCGCGACGACCCAACTGTCCTTCCCCTAGAAGGACCTGAGGCTATTCGCCGATACATGGAGCAAACTCACGCAGCTCTCAAAAAGTTGAACGCTCAGGTACACAAAGCAACGAGCTCAGCTCCCAAAATCGAGAGCTTGATTGATGAAACCCGTGGAACCCCATTCACAGACAAAATCGCTAACTCTTACATAAGAGATACCCGAAAAATTAGGATCCCCGAATATGACGGGACCTCAGACCCTAAGGCTCATTTGAGAGCCTTCTGCTTAGATATAGTAAAAGCTCACTTCACAAGAGAAGAATGTGAAGCAGGTTATTGCAGAACCTTTGCTGAGAACCTAGTCGGAACAGCTCTCGAATGGTTTTCGAGCCTCGAGCCAAACTCAATTGATAACTTCGACCAGCTCACTAACGCCTTCATGAAACAATACTCAACCCATATCCTTAAGCAAGCTTCCGAGGCTGACCTCTGGAAAATCAGGCAAGGAATGGGAGATTCGTTACGAATCTACATTGAGAAATTCAGAGCAGTAAGAACTAAGCTCTCGAACCCCAACGATCAGGTTGCCATCGAAGCCCTTAGAAGAGGCCTCTGGTACAAATCACAATTCTGGTCCGAGCTAACGCTTAACCCTCCCCCAACTATCGATGACGCTCTTCACAAAGCATCAAGATACATTACCTTGGAGGAGGAAACATCCGCACTGGATAAAATCCATAAGAAATCCCAGAATCACCCGAAAGGTGAAACCTCGGAGGCAAAGGGATCCTCTAGAAAAGGGAGCTCCCGGAATAATCAGACCCAGGGAGAACATTCTTATGCTGTCGAGGAAGTCCAACAGGAAAAGCATGTTGCCGCGACAAGCAAAACCCCCTGGTCAAAAGGCTACGATGAGAACAAACATTGCTCTTACCACGATCGAAAAGGGCATTTAACCGAGGAATGCTGGGACCTCCAACGACAGTTGGAAGCTAAATTCGTAGCTGGGGAACTAAAGGACGTGGAACTCAAAAAACCACCTCTTTACCAGAAAAGAGGTCCCAGAGACACCTCTCCAAAACGTGAAAGATCACCTGAGAAGGAAACAGATTCACCACCACCAGCTCCCAAGAAAAAGAGTTGACATGATCCTTGGTAAATTTCCCCAAGGGAAGAGTCTACAAACCGAGACCCTCCTAAGCAAACCACCGTCTCATTCGAGCCCCAGCTCGAGAGTGGATTATATCCTTGGAGGCTCCGATATATGTCAAGACTCAGTTAATTCAATCAAGAGCCATGTGCGGAAGGCTGTTACTAATGCTCAATCTAAGCCTCCCAATCCGGAATCCAACACTAAGATTTCCTTTTGGGAGAGCGAGACATCAGATCTCGACAGACCTCACGATGATGCCTTAATCGTCACCCTGAACATAGCAGGTTACGAGGTGCCTAAGCTGATGGTTGACACCGGAAGCTCGGTCGACCTTATCTTCTATACGCCCTGAAAGGAATGGAAATAGATGACTACAAAATTATTGGTCAGAAAGCTAACCTTGTAGGCTTCTCCGGGGAAACAGTTACCTCCTTGGGAACCATCAAGCTCCCGGTCATAGCTGGAGGAATCATGAAAATGACCAACTTTGTGGTATCGATAGGCCTTCTCCATTTCATGCGATCCTAGGAAGACCCTGGATCCATAAGATGAAGGCAATAGCCTCCACTTATCACCAATGCGTGAAATTTCCAACGCCTGACGGAATAACCACCGTACGAGGTAGTCAGAAGATCTCCAGGATCTGTTACTTGGGAGGATTCGGAATTCCTCAAGGAATCACCCCAATAGAAATTACAGATCTAGGAAGGTCGAGAGATGCAACAAAATATTCGAGGTCCCCCTAGGAACCTAACCGAACGAGTTAGCATCGACGACTCTGATCCCAAGAAACAAGTGAACATCGGATCAGAGCTACCTCTCGAAACGAAAAAGGAAATAATCGACTTCCTGAAAAGCAACGTCAAAACATTTGCATGGACAACCAGTGACATGAGAGGTATAGACCCAAACGTCACCACTCACAAGCTCAATGTAGATCCTACTTTCAAACCGATCAAACAAAAACACCGTAAGCTAGGCCTCGAAAAAGCCCAAGCTGTCAACGACGAAGTAGATCGACTCACGAAAGCAGGGTCCATCCGAGAAGTACACTACCCCGATTGGCTAGCTAACCCCGTAGTAGTGAAAAAAGAAAAACGGGAAGTGGAGAATCTGTGTAGACTTCACCGACCTAAACAAGGCTTGCCCTAAAGATAACTTCCCGTTACCTCACATCGATCGCCTCGTTGAGGCAACAGCTGGCCATCAGCTCTTGTCCTTTATGGATGCCTTCTCAGGATATAATCAAATCATAATGAATCCTGAAGATCAAGAAAAAACTGCATTCATAACCGAGCGCGGGACCTACTGCTACAAGGTAATGCCATTCGGATTAAAAAACGTGGGAGCTACCTACCAGAGGCTTGTGAACAAAATGTTCGCTGGACAGCTCGGAAAAACTAAGGAAGTATACATCGACGATATGCTGGTTAAATCCTCAGCTGGGGAAAATCACATCTCCCACCTAAAAGAATGCTTCGATATCCTCAACAAATACAATATGAAACTAAACCCCGCAAAATGCACTTTTGGAGTGCCCTCGGGCGAATTCCTCGGTTACCTCGTCACCGAGAGAGGTATCGAAGCCAATCCAAAACAGATAGCTACCTTTTTGGAAATGCCGTCACCTAAAACAACCATGGAGGTACAAAGACTGACCGGACGAATCGCAGCTTTGAATCGATTTATATCTAAGTCCACCGATAAATGCCTCCCATTCTACAAACTCCTAAAAAAAATAAGAAGTTTATGTGGGACGAGAAATGTGAAGAAGCTTTCAAACAACTGAAAGCTTACCTCTCCGAGCCTCCGATCCTGTCCAAACCAGTAACAGGAGAACCCTTGTACCTATACCTCGCCGTATCAACTGCCGCGGTTAGCGGCGTACTAGTACGAGAGGAACAAAACGAGCAAAGACCTGTCTATTACATGAGCAAAAGCCTAATAGACGCCGAAACCAGATATCCTACCATGGAAAAGTTAGCTCTGGCAGTCGTAACAGCTGCCAGAAAACTACGACCTTACTTCCAATCACACTCGATCGTGGTAATGACCTCACAACCAATACGCACGATCCTGCATAGCCTTAGCCAATCAGGACGATTGGCTAAGTGGGCCATAGAGCTCAGCGAATACGACATCGAATATAGACTCCGAGCAGCCATA